GCCCCCCGGCAGCCCCCCGGCAAACCCGGCTCCGGGGCCGCTCGCCCAGCCCCGGTCCCCGGGAGCATCCTGGCTCGCAGCCTGGCGAGCCCGGGACAGCCGGGACCCGGCACTTGGCAAAGGGCAGATCTGACTCTTGAGGTGGGTTTTTTTTTTGTATTTATTATTTGCTGCAGATGAAGCGTGCGGGGTTTGGGGTTTTTCTGAAGCAAAGCAGAAAACCCATCCTAACACGTCCGGGTCTTCGGAGCCAAGGCAGACGGGAAGGGGCGGCGGGATGCGCTCTGCGTGGAGCACACGGCGGCTTTTAACGCACCAGCGCTAATTCCCCGGGAATTCCGTCGGGCTGTTCGCGGGCAGCCGGAGCTGGGGGCCCGTCAAGCGTGGGGCCGTCCACGGGCACTGCCCCGCTGCCGGGCAGGCACCGCTGCCCGACGGTGAGCGTGTTTTCGCCTGGTCTGTCCGACCTTCCCTTCCCCGTTCACGTGAGGGGCTGCGTAAGTGCTGGCGCTGCCGTGGCTCCGCGGCCTCGTGTGCGTTTTTAAGCGAACGCTGCTGTTTCCTGTGTCTTGTCAAATAATTGCATTTGGCATCCAGGGCTCCAGCGCTTCGAGGAGAACCAAATTAAAATTGGAGCTCATTGAGCAGAACATTGTGTTCCCAGGCGATGTGAGGGCTGCTTGTGGCCAAGCTCCCATGGCTGTGGTCACAGGGGGGCCCGGTGTGATCCTGGTGTGATTCCCGCAGTGCCCCGCTGTGAACCCCGTGGCTCCCTGCCTCACTGGGCAGCCCTTGGGCATGCGAGCGTGGGGTCGCTGGCCCCTGCGTGTGTCCCTGGGGGCTGGGACAGCAAAAGAGTTGTGCCGCCTGTGGCCCGGCGCCTGTGGCCCGGCTGTGGCCCAGGTGGCCTCCATCGCCCCTCGCCATCGTGCCCCACTGGGATGGTGCTCCCACTCGAGCACCACCATGGCTCAGCACGGAGATGGAGTCGCTGCGGCAACTCGCCGCTGGTCTGCTGTGTGATTTGAGATGATGTCTGGAAGCTGCGGCTGACTCCGGGGGCTGTGCTAGGGGCTTCCTACAGAGCAGGCCCGGGAGGGGATGGGGACATTTGGAGCTGTGGCCCTGGGCACTGGGTGTCCCTTGCCCCATCCCCGCAGGGGGGGATGGACAGCAGGGCTCAGGGAGCTGCGGCACCCGGGTACAAGCGACATGTGAGAGCCAGGACACACCAGGGCGTCCTCCCGCCTCTGCTTTCCCTGTTCCCCAGATGTTGCGGCCACCCCTGGGGGAGTCTCTCTGGGATGAGTCTTTCCTGGTAATGTTGTTGGCAGTTTCCATCTCCTGGCGCTAACCGTCGTGGAGAGCCGGCAGCATCCACTCACTCGACCACAAACCACGTGTGTGGGGTGTGAGCCGATGACTCCGGCAGATGTTGGTGATGCCCCGACCTGTGCTGCAGTGCTGGGCTTGGGGAAAGCCTCTGGCTCTGCGTCTCTTGCTGCAGTGTGTCCCCGTCCTCATCCCCATCTCTGCCAGACGGGTGGCAGGAGCCACGGGGAACGCTCTGCGTCTCCCTGCTGCAGTGCGTCCCCGTCCCCATCTCCGCCAGACGGGTGGCAGGAGCCACGGGGAACCCCTCGCCTGGTGCTCTGCCACCCCGAGTGGACGGGGCTCTTTGGGCTGTTGCTGCCCCGCAAGCTCTGTGAACTAAAGTCTATTTTATTTTTGAGCCGTGATTTCCAGTGGTGACAGGTCGGGGCAGCCTGCTCGCAGGCATTTCTCTCCCCATTCCTGCATCGGTGGCGGTCCCTGCGGTGGCAGTCTCTGTTGGGTGACAGCGGGTGCCTGTGCCCGGCCCCAGCTCAGCCTGGTTTCTGTAAAACCCGATTGCTGTGGTTGGTGCCGGAGGCAGGTGTTGGCCAAGAGCCGCGGGCGCAGTATCAGCGGTTGCCGGTGCTGCTGCCCGCGCAGCCCCCGTGCCCACATCTGGCTGCCAAGGCTTGGCCTCTCGCTGGGCGCTGCTCGCACCACGGCTCTGCAGGGACAGTGGTGTCAGCCCCTGCCTGCGCTGGCTGCTGCGGCCCCGGGAGCCCCTGCGCCCTCGGCAGCCCCTGCCCCACTCCCTGGGAACTGCCGCCAACCTGGGGCTTCCGCCTGGCCCTGGGGGGACACCGTGCTGTGGGTCTGGGGCCATCTGGGTGTCTCCCCCAGATCCCAGCTGGTGTGTGATGGGGACGTGCGTCCTTTCCTGCGTGGTGCCCTGTGCCTCAGTTTCCCCTCAGTCCCAGAGGCGCCGGGACGTGCCCATTCCTGTGCTGTGCCCCCCCCTCCCCGCAGCAGGCTGTGATCCGAGCGGGGAGCGGCGATTACCACGTGCTATTAGCTCGGTAAGCCTGCCCCTCGTTTGATACCGTTCAGCAAGTACGATTGTTTACATAGCACATTGTTCAAAGTAATTCAATTTACAGGAATGATCTTTACTTCTAAATAAAAAATTAATACAGTTCTTTTGTTTGTGCGTTTATATAAACTAGCTGGCACAAAGTCAGTTTACAATGTTCCCATCTGAAGTAAATTAGTGAAGTCTCTTAGCTAAGTCTCTGTATAATTTCAGCACAGAAATGTCCTCTCTAAGGCAGCCCTTTTATTTTTTCTTTTCTTTTTTTTTTTTTTTTTGGTCAGCTATGGTCAGGCTGAAAAATTTAAACCTTTCTTTTCCTCCCAAATAGTTTTGCAATTAGTAATTCCAGCACAGGACGGTCTTTCTGCATCTTGCTGAGCCCACAGCGGGCAGCAGCTCTGCGGCGTGGGGTCGGGCACAGGCAGCGTGCGTTGGGGCTCTTCCCCGCCTGCAGTGGCTGGGGCTGGGCTCTTCCACCGCCCGCCTGCAGTGGCTGGGGCTGCTCTGGCCAGCCGAAACCGAGGGGTTTGTGGTGCGGGGTGTCTCCTGCCGCTTGGTGCGGTCGGCTCTTCTCGGTGTTTTGTGCCTGCGCTGAGAGATGATGGAGCTGGTCGGGCAGGGGTGGCGGCGGCTCCGCTCCCTGGCCAGCGCGGGGGTCGGGAGCGTGCTGGGCCTGGCTGCGGTGTGGGGCCGGGTGGGAGCCCCCAGGGACCCCGAGGCGGTGGGTGCACGGGGAAGCACAGCAGGGCTGCGATCAGGGCTGTGTTGGAGCCAGCACCAGCTCTGCGGTGACAGAAGAGATGCTCGCTTCTCCCCTGCTGCTCTTGCTGCTGCTGCTCATTGCATTTTTTTTTTTAAGCAGCAGTAATACTAAAATGCAGAAGCCAAACCAAGGCCGTGCCTGACCCTGCCTGCGCTGTGGGCAGCACCTCCTGGCAGGTGCTGGCCCAAGGCCACGGGGCTGTGGGGGCCACGTCTGTTGCTCCCCGTGAATCGCCCACCCTCAGCTGGCACATCCTGACAGAAATGGGGTTTTTTTCAGAAGCGCACGCAAACGTCCTGCGCCCGGCACGGGGATCCTGGCTGCCTTGTTGCCTCTTCGTTGCACTGAGCTACTTTCCAGTGTAACTCACTCAAGTGCGATCATCGTCCTCTCACAGCGAGGAGACCTCCTCGTAGGAGGAAAAGCAGATGCACGCGTCTGTACGTGTGAGGAGAAAACACATGTTTTGATTTATGGCAACGGGAGACAACCCGCTCTGACACAGTTTCCATCTGAGTCTCACACTGGCTGTTATCAAAATAAAAAGCCCATGGGCTTGGAAGCTGATTCATGGCGCTGTGTCACCTCAGGCCCTTAGCCACGTCTGGTGCCACGGGGATGCGGCGAGTCACGCCCGCCTCCTGCCTGTACCGCTGCCCACACCACTGCCCATGCCACCCTGCCGCAGGGGAATGGCACTGGTGGGGCGGTTTCGCTGCAGCCCTTTCCCCGCCTCAGTGTTGTGGGGTTTGGGCTGGACGGGGTGAGCGATGGGGCTGGCAGCAGCACCCACACCCCGGCACTGTGCTGCCTGCCCTCACCCTGCCTCTTCTCCTCCCGCAGCCGGTTTGGTACAAAGTGCGCCCGCTGCGGCAGGCAGATCTACGCCAGCGACTGGGTGCGGCGAGCGCGGGGCAACGCCTACCACCTCGCCTGCTTCGCCTGCTTCTCCTGCAAGCGGCAGCTCTCCACCGGTGAGGAGTTCGGCTTGGTGGAGGAGAAGGTGCTGTGCCGGATTCACTACGACACCATGATAGAGAACCTCAAGCGAGCAGCGGAAAACGGTATGCAGCCCCAACGCCGCGGTCGCGGCCTTGCCCCGGGCCGTCCCTGTCCCCCGTGGTGACCCCCATCACAGGGTGCCGGGGCCAGTCCTGTCATCGCCAAAAGGGGGTGATGGGTGGCCCCGCAGGGGGTTGAGCGTGAGGCCCCGGGCTGGCAGAGGGCTCCTGGGGGTGGCCAATGTGCCGGCAGCGCCCGCGGCTTGGGGGACACCTGTGTGCCGTGGGCAATGCCAGGGACAAGCCCCTGGTCCCGGTCCCACGCAGCCCGGCGCGCCGCGTGCAGTGAGTGAGGAAGCCACTGGGATTTTGAGGCTGTGAGTCATAAATCTAGAAGGTGGGAAAGCTGGCGATCCGACAAAAACCTTCCTATCATTTTCCACCCACCCTGCCCGCCCAGGGACATGCCGCTCCCAGTTGGACTGCGCTGCATGCTGCTGTCCCCGCCGCGGCACACCATGACCAGCCGGCCAGCCTCTGCTTTCCCAATCAAGTCCCGCTCCCACCAGGGCTGGACTGGTGACACCGAGGTCACGCAGTGCAGCACCCCCCTCTCCTTGGGCACAGCCCAGCCCCATCCTCCTGCGTGGCAGCGGCCAGAGAGGTGCTCGGAGGAATGAATCAGTGCGGTTCGTCCGACATGGTGCACGGGGAGGCCAGGCAGTGCCGGGGCTGTCCTGCATCGGAAAGCACCTGAGATACGTTGATGTGGCAGCGATCACAGCTCGGGGAAGCAGGCAGCCTCCTGGGCTTGGTGCCATGGGAGCTCGGCCGTGCCTGGGGCAGTAGGCAGTCCAGCCGGGTCCTGCCCCGCTGGCTGGGGCCGAGGCCTGGTCCATCTCCCTCCCACGCTCGTGCCTGTGGGGAGCGATGGCTGCGACGTCTGCGAGGCTGTTTGCTTTTATCACGTGGGCGCTGCACCGGGCAAGGGGAGGCTGCCCAGGGATGCTGTGCAGCCGCAGAGTCACCGAGGGAAGTGCCCGGGGCTGCCTTCCCACGTGCTCCTGAGCCCAGGACCCTCCTGTGGCCGGGGCTGCACTGGGGCATCGCCCCTGGCCGGGAGCAGGGCTCCAGCCCTCTGTGCCCCTCACTAGTGCTTGGTGGGCACGGGGAGGCAAACGCCGTGTCCCGGCCCGTGCAGCATGTGGAAACCATTAACAACCTGACATGAAAATAATCAGTGTTTCTGTTTACAGTGTTAGAGTAAGAGGATGAAAACAGAGTGCCCAGTCGGGCTGGGAGGGTGCCGGGTCGGGATGCGGCTTGCGGCATTTTGGTCCATATGGTCGGCTGCTGCAGAGGCGCGAGCGAGGCAGCGGGGAGCAGGGACGGCAGGGAGCAGGGATGGAGGGGGAGAAGCCGCGTGGCCTGGAGGAGCAGGCTGGTGTGAGGATGGTAGGGTCTGGTGCCGGGGGGTCCTGCAGAGCTGTTACCCCAGCCGAGGGCTGGGGCGGTGAGTTTGCTGCCGCTTGTAGGGTCCTGCTGGTATGGGCTGAGCCCCAGGGTGTTGGGGCAGTGCTGGGGCACATGGCGAGTGGCCTGCATGCGTACCTGTGTCCAAGTGTCCCCTGGTTTTGAGAAGGGGATGGGATTGCTTTGGAGAGCTACAGTTGCTGTGGAGTTGGAGGGCTGCGCTCCCCCCCTCCAGTAATTACCCAGCAATTTCTTCTGCACATGAGGTTTTACATACAAGAAAAATAAACAGATGTTGCTGAAGTCAGAGTCCCATTCATCATCCTAAAAGAACAAGTCAAACTATATGAGAAAGTCCTTCAACTCAAGCCAAGACAATCACAGCCCAGTCCAGCTTGCAGAGCGAGCGCCGGGTTGTGCAGGCGCATCCTGGGAGCGGGGGCGAGCGCCAGCCCCGCTCAGGCATCCTCCCTCATCCATCACTCATCGGTGCGTCACCCGTACCACCGAGAGCAGCCGGGATGGGCACGACACGGGCTGCAGTGGAGACTCCAGTGAGGAATGAGGGACCCTGGCTCCGGCTGCCCTCCCCGCAGGCTCCATAGCTGTGTGAGCACGGCTGGGCTCACCCCGACACTGTACTTGGCGAGCGGGTGGATAGTCCCCACCTTGGCGCGTCCCCCTTAGTGTGGTTGCTGCTCAGATCACGGGCACCCCCTCCAGTAATTACCCAGCAATTTCTTCTGCACATGAGGTTTTACATACAAGAAAAATAAACAGATGTTGCTGAAGTCAGAGTCCCATTCATCATCCTAAAAGAACAAGTCAAACTATATGAGAAAGTCCTTCAACTCAAGCCAAGACAATCACAGCCCAGTCCAGCTTGCAGAGCGAGCGCCGGGTTGTGCAGGCGCATCCTGGGAGCGGGGGCGAGCGCCAGCCCCACTCAGGCATCCTCCCTCATCCATCACTCATCGGTGCGTCACCCGTACCACCGAGAGCAGCCGGGATGGGCACGACACGGGCTGCAGTGGAGACTCCAGTGAGGAATGAGGGACCCTGGCTCCGGCTGCCCTCCCCGCAGGCTCCATAGCTGTATGAGCACGGCTGGGCTCACCCCGACACACTGTACTGCGAGTGGGTGGATAGTCCCCACCTTGGCGCGTCCCCCTTAGTGTGGTTGCTGCTCAGATCACGGGCACCCCGAAGCCATGGGGACGGCGCTGCTCCTGCTGCTGCTCCAGGAGCCAGGAGGAGGAGGTCAGGGTGCTGGGAGGATTTGGGGCCAGGGAAAGGAGCAAAGAGCCCATCGAAATGCTCTGAGCAAATGAAACGACTGATGGAGGCAGTGCCCGCAGGGGAAGACGGGGTCACAGGGAGCAGCACGGGGCAGGAGTGATGGATGTTGGTGAGCCCGGTGGAGGCAGGGTCCCCTTCTGAGCTGCTCGCTGGAGGATGCGGCCAAGTGGTGGCC